TTTTCATGCATTATTTGCCTTTCATAACTTTAAGAAAGCTCATAGAGAACTACTAGTGAACTTTAAAAAGGAATATAGGAGGTTTTTCTGATCAGCCTAGCTACCTCCTTTTTTGTGTACGATACTAACCATTGTCCTCTGTTAACCTTATTTTTCAACATCTTTTTGCTTTCGAAACCTTCTTTTTATTTTTATTTTTTATGTAAATAACTAAGAAAATTTGAGTATAATAATTTTCAAGTAGTTTGCTAATCTGTTCTAGTTAATGTTTTAGTTTGATTCAATTTTTATGTTTCTATGTGGGCAGGAGATTGTCAATTATATCTGTGACGACGATGATATTAAAGCTATATCATTTGTTGGTTCAAATAATGTAAGTAGATTCTGCTACCGTTTTTTCAGCCGCACCAAGTGGCACTGACATCAGACACACATGCACACAAATTTTAGACTTAGGCAGTATATTATGTTGTGAATTTACACAAGAAACATTCATCCTGTGTGGGTATGTTTACTTTTTTTACATATTCATATCATATCCATAGCCATATGTTATGGTGAGTGAGTGAGGTGCAATTTTTGTTAATGTGAAAAGCATCAACGGTGGTTAAAATTCAATCCACCAAGCGTGAGTTTGTTGGCCCAAATCTAAGGGCAGCCACTCAGTGCAACCCCCCCCTTTTTTTTCTCTCTTTCTTGCTAATGCAATTTGATCCGAACTGATTGCTTTTGGTGAAGTGCTGTGGAAATTGATTGATAACTGTTGAAGTATAAATACTTAAGTTACACCATCTCTAACAATATAAGTTTTTGGAGTGGATGATTGTTTAACATGATATTAGAGTAGGAAATCATATGTTCGAATCTCACTGTCACCCTAATTATTAAAAGATTTCACATGTTAGGCCTAAAAATTAGCAAATAATAAGGGGCATGTTGAAGTATAAATACTTAAGTTACACCGTCGGTAACAACATAAGCTTTTGGAGTAAATGGTTATTTAATAATAACAATAAACATTCTGATGTGTGCCAGCATTCTACACCCCCAAAACCAATATTATTCTACCCGGGATTAGAATCTGGAATGCACATATATGCCAGGGCAGCAGCTAGAGGCAAACGAGTTCAGGTGAATAATTTTTCATTCTCAATAAATATGGCTTGACTTAACCGGCAACTTGATTTTTCTTATATTCGCTTGGTAGTTATCATGGTTTGTATGCCTCAGTCCAATATAGGAGCTAAAAATCATGCGATAGTTATGCCTGACGCGAGTGCGGATGCCACTTTGGATGCTTTGGTTGCTGCTGGTTTTGGTGCTGCAGGACAGAGGTGCATGACTCTAAGCACAACTGTTTTTTGTTGGAGGCTCTATGCCTTGGTATGATATTTATTTAGTTTTTTAACCTCACATTTGTTATATCTGCTTGGTGACTTTATACTTCATTATCTGGGATTGAAATAATATTTCTTATTTCAACTTGTATGTATACCATTTTCTTATTTTAGCTTTTTCACCTTTTTTTCCTTTTTTTTTTTTTGGTATTTTTCTTTTTGGGAGGGGGAGCTAATATCCTGAAGGTTAGGCCTATTTTCTGATCATTCATTTAGTCATTCATTTTACACTCTATATTTTCAATTTGTGCAACTTTAAAGTGATTTTAAAACCATATTGCATGCACCAAATATCTTTATAGAACTTGATATGAGGTGATGGGTGAAGCTTGATGTAGTTTCTCTCTTTGTATCAATTCTTAATTGTGAATGTCTCATGTGAGTTGTTTTGCAACTCATTATGTGTTCTGGATCTGATTCAGTGATGCATGAAATCTTCCATTAACAATGATGCATTATAAATATGTTTTTCAGGGAAGAAGAGCTTGTGGCGCGTGCCAAAGCACTCAAAGTAAATGCAGGAACAGAGGCTGGAGCTGACCTTGGACCAGTTATAAGTAAAGAGGTGCAAACATATCTTAGCAAATTTTCCGTTTGCTATGCCTATTTGAAATTTGAAATTGAACACTATATGTTTATATCCTTGAATTCTGTTATTCTACAATATAACTTGGAGCAATGGAAATCTTTTTTGTTGACAAAAATTATTGGAAGTCATGTGCACTTGCAATCTATGGTTATAGGAGGTGCCAAATTCTGGTTGCTTCACATGTTATGTGGATGTGGTGTCATCCCAGTTGAGTACTTCTTGACATTTGCATTGATTTTTGGTTCCTTGGCATGCTTCTTCAGGTAAAAGATCAAATATGCAAATTAGTTCAAAGTGGCGTTGATAGTGGTGCTCGACTTGTTCTCGATGGAAGAAACACCGTGGTATACCATGCTTTTCTTTACCATTTGATCATGTGCGCGTTGGTTTTTGCTTGAAAATCTTTCTTGTTTGTGTTCTATATTATTAGGAATATACATTAGCGAGAACAAATTTCTTGTATGATTGCCATTAGTTATGAGGACTGTCAACAGATCGGATCTGAATCACATTGGATCTTGATCTGTCCAGATCCAAATCTGATAAAACAATCTGAGTTTGAATTCGATTTGTTTATCCGACGAATTTCAAAATCTTAATCAATATCCTCATTCGTTAGTAATAGGATATCCGATCTGATTACCCGATCCGATTTGAAATTTGAATCCCAACAAAATTTTATAAAAAAATAATAATTTTACCAAATTTAAGTTAACTGTCAACCTAATTTAATCAACTAATGATTCTTTTCAATAATTTTTGCTTAATTTCATATCAGTGTCATTAATAATCTATGTATGTATATATAATAATTTCTCTCAATTAAGTGTGTGTACATATATACACACACACACATATATACATATGTATAAGTCCAAATTCGTTTAAAGAAACTTAATCGGATTCGGGTAACAAATTAAAATATTAAGTTAAAATCCACTTCATTGACATGCCTAGTTATGTGGGCTTAATAAAAGGTGAACATGTTGTAAAAGATGTTATAAAACATGACACACAAACTATAAACAAAGAAAATTTTAAACAAATAAGATTGCTAATAAAAAGTTTGAAAAGCGGTAAAAGAAGTTAAGTATAAAACATATACTAATGCTATTGGGACATAATTGAGGGACATAATTTGGGGATATAATGCATTGTGATCAATGAAGGGATAAAGAATGTATTTAATGATGGGACTCATTGCAACATTAAATGTATTCTACTATCACTCTATTGGTCAAAATGTATTATGTCCCCAAATTATATCCTTAAATTATATCCAAATAATATTTCTCTAAAACATATGATGATTTTTATCTAAGCTAGATACAAAGGATAGATAGAGAAATAAGTATGTTTTCTCAATTAAGGTAAAGAAAAGTTAAAGATGCTAACTATATTAAGTGTTATGAAAAGCGAAGATTGAAGGGTTTTGGTAAAAAATGAGGAAATTAAGGAAAAGTGGAAAAATTATTAAGTGAAAATCATATAGGAAACATAGGGGGTAATGTTACCTAGATTGTGTGTCGCTTTGGTATGTGGTATGATCATGTATAGGCAGTACAACATATTTGTAGGTACGATGAAAGTAGACTTAGCTGGTATAGTATTTTGGGTCCCAATTAATTTTGAAACTTTTATCTAGATCGCTTTTACTATTATACGACATTATATATCATAAAACATTCATAAACACTATGTCAGTTACTATTTATTTTATATTTGTGTTCGATTTTCTATTATCTAAAATAATATATAATTATAAATCTATATACACGTAGTCAATTAATATATAAGTTATGTTTGTGTTGAGCGAATCGATTTAGGGTTAGTATTATAAATTGAGGCCATATATTTTGGTGATTTGAATCGCAAACCCATTTCATTTGGGATCGATGTACTCAGATTGTGGATCGTCAAGAGTTTAATGAATTCTGGTAACTGTGGGGTGAACAATATAATAAGAAAAGGAAAACTAACCCAAATAAGTTTTTTTTGGTAGAATTAGGCTGTTCTAAGTAAAGAATGCCCTAAAAAATACAAATTGAAGAAACTTTAGGACGAATGTCGGATATGTTGAAGTATCTCGGTTAACTAAATTGTTTAATCAAATTATAACAACTAAGAAGATGTCAGATGAGTGCTGGAAGAAGATTTTAGTATCCATATAAAAGCAAAAGGCACATTCAGAGTTGCACAAACTATCGATGTATGAAGTTAGTGAGTCTGAATCATAACATAAAACTTTGGAGAGGATCATCGAGCAATCTTTTTTGTTTTTTAATGAGAACGACAAGACTTGAAAGAACCACATATGAGAATTAATTTGGGTTTCGCTGGGGAGGTCAACAGTAGAAGCTATATACTTAGGAGACTAATGGAAAAATAGAGAGAGAAAAAATAAATGTTGTTATATGGTAATTATGGACTTAGAGAAGACATATAATAGTGTTTCTAAGGACATAATTGATAGTGATCGAAAAGGGATTGGATGAACTTAATTTAATAATTGAATTTTATTATTTATTTTAGTATTATTTTATTAGTTAAGGAATATTTGTTTGACTAGGAATAGTAATTAGAATTTGATTAGGAAATTGTTATATAGTTTTAGTATGATAGGGATTTGAGAATTTGATTATGAAACTCTTTTAGTATTTTAGTAGGAAAGTAGTTTTTATTTTAGTAGGGAACTTGACCTATAAATAATGGTGTAATCCCAACTATTTTTAATTAGAGAGAGTGATATAATAAAAAGTGGTTCTCCGTGGAGAATTTATGTGTTTCTTCACCGAATCCTTGCGAGGATGAGGTAAACCCCTTCCACCTCCTCTTCTTTCTTCTTCTCTTTCTATTCTATGATGTCTAGCTCTTCCCGTTATACATCAATAATATTGCTGGTTTTAAAAAATAAGAGAGTTACCATAGATATATGGATATGATTAAGGATATGTGTGGGTGTAATGACTATAGGTAGAACAAATGCGGGGGAAAGTAGTGAATGCCAAATAACGGTACGCCTACATCAAGGTTTCCCTTTAAGTCCGGTATCTCATTTCCTTAACTATGGATGAATTGACAAGACAAATAGATTGATTGATGACACTAAAGTAGTAGTTAACAACAAACTAGAAGTCTAAAATTTAGATGGTTTGGACATGTTTATAGAAGTCCTAGTAATCCTTCGGTAAAGAAGAGTGATTTAGTACATATGATGGTAACGCAAGGGATAGAGGTACTCCTAAAATAGTTTCTAATGAAATAGTAAAAAAAATATGATAGTCCACTACCTAATGACAAATATGACCTTGATAGACCCCAAATAGTTGAGATTATTGCTTATGTTGATTAGCTTTGAAGGCTGAGCACTATTCCATTCCAGTGCCACTGTGTTATTTCTGTGACTCTGCACAAGTTATTGTCACAATGTTGTGCTCTATCATTTATCCAGCCTTTGTGAAGCATGATGTGTTTTATTGTTGTCGTGGACTGTATTTTTTCTGGTGTAATCAATTTCTTGTTGTAAATTGATACCTTACCTAACTAAGGATCTTGTCACGGGGCGATTCACTGGGAAATCAAGCTCCAGAATCTGATTTTTCCCCTTATTACAATTCATTGAGCGACCTATTGTGAATTATAATCAAACTCATCAAAGGGAGCTTGACACCTTGGACCTCGTTAGAGAGAGCTCCAATCTCTATATTTATGATTAAAATTAGGCTTAGGGTTTTTATTAATTCTAGAGTCCTTTAAATAGGACTAGTCTCCTTAAAAATATAGGAAACCTATAAGTTAGGCTCCTTATAACCGAAATCACGGAAAGACCTAATTAGGAGATAAGTCTCCAACTAAGCAACAATAACGTTAAAAAACAAAATAACAAAACAAAACCTAAGCCATATAATTCCAGTTACTTATTTGCCACGCCTTCTATAAGAGCAGCCCACAAAGGAGTCTATAACATCACCCTCCCCCTGTTGAAAGAGCTTGTCCACAAGGTCAAAGTCCGGGTAAGCATGCTGGAAATGTTCAGGGCTCTCCCAAGTGGCATCAGCAACGTCAGTATCCACCCAATGCACTAGAAGTTCCCAAGTGCCTCTTTTAAGGCGAGCCCGCAATACTGAAGCCGGGGTGGGAATGACACAACCATCTTTTACGGGAGGAGGCAATTGTGGAATGGAGAATGGAGGTCGTCCTTTGTAAGGCTTAAGAAGGGAAACATGGAAGATGTTGTGAAGCTTTGATTCAACTGGTAGTTGAAGCTTGTATGCTACGGTTCCAATGGGCGGCAAAATGGAAAATGGACCATAGAATTTCTAGGATAGCTTGTGGCGGGCTGTAGTAGAGACAGAGTGCTGACGATATGGCTGTAGGCAGAGCCAAACTAGATCCCTACAGCATATTGCACATCTCGATGGCCATTGTCATAGAACTCCTTCATACAACTTTGGGCCAGTTGCAATTTAGCCTATGTCTCTGTCAAAACTTGATCACGAGTAAGCAAGGCCTGATCAACGACTTCAACTCTAGAGGACCCAGGTATATAAGAAAGGAGACGAGGTGGTTCACGCCATAGACAACCTTGAAAGGTGTACTCTGGAGGCCAGTATGAAGTGATGTGTTATAGCAATATTCAGCCCATGGAAGCCACTCAATCCAGCTTTTAGGCTTATCCCCAATGAAGCAACGAAGATATATTTCAATGGTGCGATTCACAACCTCTGTTTGTCCATCCGTTTGTGGGTGGTAAGTTGAGGAAAAGGCAAGCTTTGTACCACTGAGACAGAAGAGTTCCTGCCAAAAATTGCTTGTGAAAACAACATCCCGATCACACGTAATGGTCTCCGGAATCCCATGAAGACAGACAATCTGCTCCACAAAAACATGGGCAACTTTGGTGGCAATATACGGGTGAGCCAGAGGAATAAATGTTGGGATTTCTCACGATTTAAATCCACTAACAAACACACACAATAGAAGAACAAATAAAGAATATAAAGCAATAAGAAACAAGAAAGAACAAGACACAGATTTTACGTGGTTCGGCAATTTGCCTACGTCCACGAAGCTGCAGGGATTTCACTATTGAGAGAGTTGAATACAGAGAGCGGCTGTACCATCCACAATTAACCCTAATCACCAAAACAACAGGGTTTATATGTCCTACGCACTGGGCTGTATAACGGGCCCAAAAAAAAAATTTTCCTCGGGGGCGTTGCCCCCGAACCCCCACGAGACTTGTCCATGAGCGCTACGGCTTGGGCCTATCGGCCCAAGCCTTCGCTCCATGGACTAAGCCTCAGAAAATTTTCCATTAAAAACCACACAACATTATTTCGGAGTCGGGTCATCATCCGGATCACATATACAAACTAGACTCCATAAAAATAAACCA